TCGAAAATCGAATCGTGACTTTAGAATCGAAAATCGAATCGAGGATTTGGAGGATCGTGACACCCTTCGGTGCACTGTTTCAAAACACTTGCGCTTCGGGATCTCCACACTGTCGAAACGTCAGTTTCACATCAGCCATCCCTATCGGGTGCTCTACCAAGGAGGCTAAAGACCATGGCCTCTGGTGTCTGTCGCTAGAGCACCTTTAGAGGTCAGAGGAGTGAGGTTTACCTGCACAGCACTTTACTAGCTGGCCTCCGTTACATAAGGTCATCATCTCTACCTTGGTAGTGCACCGATTGTAGATTTCTTGCATTACTGTTGAAGAATCTAACTAAGGATCTGAGAATCTTTGCAGCAAGTTTCTGTGTGTTGTTTCAAGAAAGCAATCATTCATTCATGTTGTGTGTGTGTTTGAATTCATTTATTATTTTATTTAATCACATGATCCTTAGTCATTTATATAATGGGCTCTATGCACGGCGGCGCGTGACGCATTTCCGGTAAAATTTAAGACCCCGAGCCAACTTCCGCCGATCGTACAGTACAGTGCTACAACAGGAGCGCTACTGATAAAAACAAGTAATGTTTTGGACAGTTGTCTTAATGTTTTATGCCGTTACAGCCCACTTATATGTTTATGTCAGCTACATAAATATGACATCTAAACATTTAAAAGTGTCATTTCAAAGACGTGAGAACAGTACTTTTAGCTACCACTGCTGTGTTCAGCAACGCACAGCGTCAGAAATTGAACTCTTACCTCCACACGTTTCCAAACGACAAAGTCGTGCAGAAGAGGTGGGTTGTTGATATTAAACGTGAGAATTTTACAGAAACAGAAAAAACAAGAGTGTAGCTGACAATTTCAGTCTAGAAAACTGATCGAGGCTCGAGTGCCAACCGGATGCAGACATTGTAAGAAAGGAGCTTTTATGGCAAATAATAGTTTGTTTTCATTGCCTTTAAAGTAAAAAAAAACTGAACATTAATATACATAAACATTTCTTAAGCTACTTTCTAAGTGCAATTTTTTTAAATTCAGAATAAAGACCTTTATTTTATTCATTGTACATATCAAATATAATTCACTGTATATAATATGAAATAAAAATTGTCAAAAAAGTAACATTTTGAAAGAATATTTTATTCAGATGAACAGAAACAATAACAATGAATCAGTTGTTTTCTTCAATCAGGTGCTTCTTCTTTAACTTGTGCATAGAGAGGTATTTGGGCTGATACGTATTAAATAAATAAATAAATCACCCATCTGTTTCATGGAACTTAACACATAATTGATCCATTCCAAACAATTGTTCATGTGACAACACACATTACACATTTCAGAGTAATGGGCTGTCTGGAAAAGCAAAGCAACCAAATGTTTGCATGTCCCACTCTCAGCCACACAAGAGCAGGAGCTATTAACTAGCAGGCGATGGCATGGATTTTCTGACGGATGTCCGCTCCAGGATGGAGTAACACACAAAATTTTCTAGCTCTGAATCTCATAATGTTACCTAGAAAACAGAAACAGGAATATTAATAGGTTTTTAAAGAGAGTCATTAAAGGCAGTTCACTCAAACCTGAAAATTCTATTTCCTCATCCTTCACTTGTTCCAAACCTGTTTGAGTTTCTTTCTGATGTTTAACACAAACAAGAGTACTTTGAAGAAAGCAGGAAACTTGCAACCACTGATATTCATAGTAGTTCTTTTTCCTACTATGGAAGTCGACGGTTACAGGTTTTCAGCTTTCTTCAAAATATCTTCTTTTGAAAGGCATCTGCAGCAATATCATCAGGTTAAACTACACTGTTAATCATTATTTTAAATCATTTAAAAGTAGCTCCCTTTAGTCACACTTTAAAATAAGGTTTCGTTAGTTAATGTATTTGCTCACTTTTAAAAGAACTATTTAATATTTAATAGTTAGCATTGTTAAACTAATTTACTAATGAATAAAAATGCAAAGTCATGCTTGTTAACATTAGCTATTACATTGTGAGTTAACAAGCACAATGAATAAGCATTTGTTCATTAACATAAAAAAAAACTAATAAATATTGCAATAGACAAATTGTTGATGTGAAATTAACTAATGACACCTTGTTGTTTTGGGTCACCCTCCCATTTAATTACAATTTTATAGACTAAATAGAAAGCATGCTATCTACACTGTTACACTGCATCTGTCATCTCCACTGTTTCAGCAATAAATCTCAGCATTGACACAGCGCTATTTGTCTGTTGTGGATGGAACGGCATTGTATTATTTTATTCCTAATATATCTTGCTCAATAAGCATGCTTACAAGCTAAGACAGCATCTGTGTTTCTGTAATTATCCGAACTGAACAGTGGTGGTCACTTTAGAACAGTAAAAATATGAACGGGACAGAGCTTCACATGTATGCTGTCCTACTCTCAGCTGGTGAGGAGACTCCGATTTCTTCATAGATCGATCGGTAGTAATGAGCTCTCACTGTGATCTTATTCCTGCCCTGTTTTTACCTGACACTTTGAGACAGAATTACGTACACATATGATCATTTTTACTAACGTGATAAAGCTGCAGATGGACAGATCGTTAGAATAGTATTCACGTTAGCCTACAGGCTAGCTGAACTTACCTTCATAATTGCACAGGTAGGAAGATGCATAAAACTTGAAACCTTTCTCAAGTTTGCTCTGCGGTGTTGTAGTGCACATCCGGACAATCATTTGCACATCGTTGACCATAATTTACTCGCAAACAGCGAGTAAATAATTGACGACTCTGCCATAATACTGTTTACCTCCGCTTAAAATCACCCAGACCGGAAGCTGGACCGCGGCCTTAGACAAAACGCGGAAGTAATGCGTGCATATAGCCCATTAGCATTTTAATGATTATCATTAGTTATTGATTTGATTATTAATATGATGGCTTGAGAAAGCCACCATTTTGATATTCTAAATAAACTTCTTCCTCCGTCTTCTGAGACAAATTTTAAAGTGTATCTCCTCATAAGCCTTTCAAGCTTTCAGGAAAAACTACCCAGAAATTTCCCAAAAGTCCCATTGACTTAACATTGGATCAACCTTTGTGAGCTCATAACTCTGCATTAGACTGTCCTACAGACTAGAGCCTGGCGTCATTCAACTCAGTCTAGTCAGCAGCCTACTACTGATGACCTTTCTACGTACTAGCCACTCCCTAGCAACTGTCTAGTAGACTGTGACTAGCTATTCTAACACATGCTAGCAGTTTTAACGTCCTGCTGACATGCTAATCTTCCTAGAAACATGATAGCACGTTAGTGACATGCTAATTCATGCAAACAAGCTGATTCATGTTAGAGTCATGATAGTAACATGCTAATTCATGCTAGAGTTATGCAAATATCATGCCTATTTATCCTAGAATCATGGTAACAACATGCTAATTCATGCTAGAAACGTGCTAAAAGCAAACTTAACTACTTGGTTTCTCAAGCCACCATAAAGTTTGTCCTCAAACTTTAATATATAGTTGTTCTTTGTCATTTTATAGTTTATTATCATTATTTTCCTAAAATTATAGCTTCATTAATATTTCCATTTTTCCATATTGTTATAATGTTACGACTGTGGATTCAAGTGACACTTGTTTTCATGAGTAAGAGAATAAGAGAATGTCTTTATTTCAAGGTCTGTGCTGTCTCTGGACAATGTTGTGAAGCAGTCATTTTCCATTGCTGGTGCTTGTGGTATAATAACTCTTGTTGGATTTATCCTGGTCAGACGAAGTCTGAGCATTGAATCATACACAACTAAGATTATCCGGGTTCATACGGTCCTGGAAAACCAGGACAAGTCATGGAATTTCGCCAAGGCATTTTTCCAGGCCTTGAAAAGTTTTGAAAAAATAAATAAACCCAAAATGTTTTGGGAAAATTCATGGAAACTTGCTTAACAAATATCTGTGTACTTGAATATAGTTGAGATGATAACATTGGGTAAAGAAGGTCGCTGGTTCGAGCTTCGGCTGGGTCAGTTGGCGTTTCTGTGTGGAGTTTGCATGTTCTCCCTGCGTTCGCGTGGGTTCCCTCAGGGTGCTCCGATTTCCCCCACAGTCCAAATACATGTGGTACAGGTGAATTGGGTAGACTATATTGGCCGAGTTTGAATGAGTGTGTGTGGATGTTTCCCAGAAATGGGTTGCAGCTGGAAGGGCATCCACTGCATAAAACATATGCTGGATAAGTTGGCGGTTCATTCCGCTGTGGCGACCCCAGATTAATAAAGGAATTATGCCGAAAAAAAATGAATGAATGAATGACACTGGTTAAATTTCAAATACAAGATGTCTATCCCTTCACGTGACATTTTCTGTGTGGGGCAATAAAAAGCAACTTGCAGTTTCAGCTTCACCTCTCTTTCACCTGCATTCAACGTAATTCAAGATACATTTTGAGTGTCATGTTACACAAACAATCTCTAATTAGGTAAGACAATGTGGGTGCTAATTTGCGCTAATTCAATAAGTCTTGAGAAGCCAACATTTCTAAAAAAAAAATTATATTTTCTAAAAACTATTTTACACGTATAAAATTAACAAACTACATAGACTGCCACATATTTTTTGATATGCTGTAATTAATACGAACAAGCATTTTTTCCTATTTACCACATTACGTGAAACATAAGGTCACGAATATTTACCTGGAAGTTTTGGAAAAGTCCTGGAATTTCAGCAGTAAAAATGTGTAGGAACCCTGGATTATTCAGTAAACTCTGCTCTTTGTTTATCATCATTACTGAGTCTCCTGCTTCTGCTCTTCTCTGGTGTTCTATACTGTTGTAGACTGTTAATTCAGTTGAATACTGGATAGCAGGTATTAGAAACTCTGCTGACTTATTGTCCATATTCCTGGAGAGACATTTTCCGTCAAGATCTGGCGTCCGGGTCCGGATCGTATTTATCTGGCGGGGAGATGGTGGTCTAACACTGTTCATTGTTCTCATTTTAAACAGGACAAAGTGTCCAAACACAGAGGAAAACTCCTGCTGAAAGCGACTGATCTCCACACTGTTATAAAGATGGCGGTTATTAAAGTGGAGAGTGAAGACCTGCAGATTGAAGACACATTCACTGTGAAACAGGAAGATCCAGAGGAACAAACAGGTGGATTTTCTCTCTCAAACTACATATTTCAAGCGTATTAATCAGTAAGAAGCTTAACTAATTAGTTATTGAAATTGCTAGTATTAAGTTGAATTATTGATTTCAACCAATGACTGTAAGAAATATGGACGACGCGACAGCCCTTTTTCCCATTGAACGCCTTGAGGGCAAAACGCCTGCTTGACGGGCACAAACTGTCGCAAAAGACTGCTGAAATTGGAGCCAGACATGCGCAGAAGGATTGTCTGATGGAGCCAGAGGAGGAGCCGCGAAAATGAGCAGAGTCGAGCTTCCAACCAAACGCTTTATGTAAAATCAACTACGCCCCCCGAACTTCTCAGCATGCGTTTGCTGTCATATCAACACAAATGGATGTAATAACGTTAACAAATATGAGGGTTTTATATATTAAATCGCGCCAGCTCCAGGCCGCATAACATAACTTACTCGCGGCGTCGCGGGCTGACTCCGGCTCGCATGCGGCAGCGCCTGCTCGCTCGGCAGCCGCATCTGGCTCGATTGACTCGGGCTGGAATTGGGTAGTGAGTCCAGGCATCCGGAGTAGGTCCAGCAGAGGTAACATTAGTCAGTCTGAGCTCTAAGAGATAAGTCTCCGGCAGGCGAGAATCTAGCCGGAACTGTGTTTTGCTATCTGGGTGGCTAGGCGTGTATCAGCAAACTAATAAAGCCCGAAAAAAGCCCTGAACTTAGCGAATAAACAGTGTTCCACCAGGATCATGTATGTCAGAAACTATAGTTTACTGCTGAACTCATTTTGTCATGGTAAAATAACACAGAAATCGAATAATAACATTTCAGTCTACTTCAGTCTCCTGCCGAAGCTCAGACGCCGCGCTTTGAGAAATTGTCAATCACAGCTGTCAATCACGATGACACGCCCAGCATTAAATTACTGCTAAAAACAAACTGTTTACAAAAATGAAGATCTGCACCTATTTCAGCACAATAACCAGTGCCTTAATCGACCACAACTATCTTTCGGGACATTTTATTGCAAGTGTAATATTTTTTTTTATTTGGGCTCAAGTCTCCTTCATTAACACGGAGGAGGCGGGCTTTATGACTTGTACTGCAGCCAGCCCCCAGGGGGCGATCTAACGGCCGAAACCTTCACTCAAACGCAGGCTTGCGGCACACTTGATTTCAACATACAGGGTGGGCCATTTATATGGACCTTAATAAAATGGGAATGGTTGCTGATATTAACGTCCTGTTTGTTGCACATTAGTTTATGGGAGGTGGCAAACATTTCAAGATGGGTGCTGCACACCTTGTATCTTCACACCATAAACAACAAAGATAGTGGGGTCATTCTTCATCAATGGAAACCTCAAGGCCACTGGATATTTGACATTTCTACATGATGATTTGTTTGTCGCTGGTTTAAGTCCTAGCTAGGTCAGTTGGCATTTCTGTGTGGAGTCAGCATGTTCTCCCCGTGTTGGCGTGGGTTTCCTCCGGGTGCTCCGGTTTTCTCCACAGTCCAAAGGCATGCGCTATAGGGGAATTGAATAAACCTACCCTACTGAAAAATCCATCTTAAACCAGCCTAGGCTGTTTGGCTGGTTTCAGCTGGTCAACCAGCCTGGTTTTAGAGGGGTTTTGGCCATTTCCAGGCTGGTTTCCAGCCATTTCCAGCCTGGTCTTTGCTGGTCAGGCTGGGGGATGGCCAGCGAAAACCAGCTTGACGAGCTTAGCCAGGCTGGGAGTCCAGCCAAAACCAGCTATGTCTAGCTTAAACCAGGCTGGTCAAGCTGGATTTAGCTGGTAATTTTCCTGCCTGACCAGCTAAGACCAGGCTGGGAAACCAGGCTGGTAAACCAGCTAAAACCAGTCTAGGCTGGTTTAAGCTGGATTTTTCAGCAGGGTATTTAAGGCTGATTTATACTTTTGCGTCAAACGCCGACGTATGCTACGGGGCTGACGCATAGCCCTTCGCCGTGGCCATCGGCGTCACTGACGTGCACCTCTCAAAATATGTAACTACACGTCGCAACAACGTGTAGCGCAAGCTCTGTGGTCGGCTTGGTAGCGCTGACGAGTCTGGGCGGGACCGAGAGCCGCGCGAATGCCGCGAGCGATTGTTTACAAGTCTGGAGTCCCGTGAAGGAGCTCCGGATGGAAAGTTTTGTTTTGTGTTTACCTCATAGAGTTGTTGCACGTCCGCCGGTTCCTGCCTCAAAATGAGCGAGTTTGAGCCACTTGTACATCCCGGAAGTGTTCAGGAAAAGCAAAAAAGCAGCGAAGAAACTCGACACAGAGGAACATTTACACCTCACTGCCAACTAGCGTTTTGGAAGTGTTAATGCAGACCAACAGAGACAGCGCGCAGAAGTATAAATGCACAGCCACGCGCGTTGCATGCGCCGAGGGTTACGCCGGTCACTTGACGGAAAAGTATAAACCAGGCTTTAGCCGTAGTGTATGAGTATGTGTGAATGGGTGTTTCCCTGTACTGTGTTGGGGCTGGAAGGGCGTCCGCTGGATCATACATATGCTGGAATGGTTGGTGGTTTATTCCGCTGTGTTGACCTCTGAAATAAACACTAAACTGAAGGAAAAAGAATGAATGAATTCTGAACAGACACTGTCAATATGTCAAAGGTATGAACACACAAACATGAACCTGAAGCTGCTTATTAATTGAGCACGGTGCCCCAACCTGTCCAGAAAATATCTGTTGTGACCGCACCACGCCCGGACACTTGTTCTTAGGGCACTCTGGCCTGTTTCAATGGTTTGATCCAAGTGCAGTTTAACAGTCTAAGCTGCATCTCAATGCCTTTAATATGCAACCTGGGCGAAGAGAAAATTAGTTGATGCTGATTCTGTTTGGTTTTGGTCCATTTATCCTGACTACGATTTAATTTCTTAGATAAGTTGTGTTGCTTTGTGCCTTTAAATTTGGGATTTACCTGTATTTCTCTTCTTTTTAGAGCTGATGGTGCTGAAAGAAGAGACTCAAGACCTGAATATAAAGCAAGAAAAAGATCAGTTTGAGATAAACCAAGATTCAGTGACCGATGAACAAACCACAACGACAAAAAAGACTCGGAAAACCAGATCTAACGGTGGTTACACCTGCAGTCAATGTGGGAAAAGTTTTGCTATAAAACACAACCTTATAACCCACATTAGAGTTCACACCGGAGAGAAGCCTTTCTCGTGTGATCAGTGTGGAAAGAGTTTCAGTCAAAAATCCAAACTTCCAGTCCACATGAGAGTCCACACCAAAGAGAGGCCGTACACGTGTACCTACTGTGGAAAGAGTTATTGCCAAAAACAATACCTTAAAGTCCACACGAGAATTCACACAGGAGAGAAGCCATACACGTGTACCGAGTGTGGCAAGAGCTTCCGTCAAAAACAGTACCTTAAAGTTCACAAGAGAAGTCACACAGGAGAGAAGCCGTTTTCCTGCTGCGAATGTGGGAAACGTTTTTATCTAAATCAGTACCTCAAAGCGCACATGAGAATTCACACCGGAGAGAGGCCTTTCTCGTGTGATCAGTGTGAAAAGAGTTTCAGCCGCAAGTCGAAACTTGACGTTCACATGAGAGTTCACACCGGACTGAAGCCTTTCTCCGAGTGTGGAAAGAGTTTCTGCCAAAAACAGTATTTTAAAGTCCACATGAGAATTCACACCGGAGAGAAGCCATTTCACTGCCAACAGTGTGGAAAGGGATTTGTTCAATTGCAATCCCTCAAAAGTCACATTTCAGTTCACGCTAGAGAGAAACAATGAGGGATTTACATGTTAAGTCAATGCAAAGACGCAATCCTGCGGGACTTAACTTGGAAAATCTGTACACATTTGCACCGTTTACCAACTGTGGAGAGGTGAGTGTGAACACCCAATAAGGGGGGAGAGCATGCTCGGAGCCCGGCGGCTAATCAGCAGGTCAATCAGAAATGATAAATAACACCTGTTTTTCTAATGATTGGGCCGGAGAGACTCCCTTCTTAAGGAGAACGGGAGGAGCAGTCGGAAGAAGAGAGAGCACACACACACACCCTGCTACATGTGTGGTGGCATTCTAAATTAATAAAACAGTTTGCTTATCTGAACCGCCGACCCTGTCGTCTTCTTCCCTCAACAACGAACTTTACTACACCAACATTGCATACAATGCCTGTTTTGTCCAAGGTTCCTATATTTACTACAAGTACAGCCATTCTGGTTACTGGTTGCTCCAAACATTTTCAGACTGTTGAGTGTCTAAAATAGCCCTAAATTTGAACTGAAGTGGATTCCAATCAGCATATTAGGCATAATATGTGTTAACATTTACCATAATAAATATAAAAATTCTTATGAACAGAGCCCGCTGAAAGAACTTTCATGAGCGTTGTTGAGATTCTATTTGCTTTCATATTTCATCTGTCCAGGGCCGGCGCTTCCATAGAGGCGACCTAGGCGGCCGCCTAGGGTGGCAGAATAGAGAGGGCGGTGTCCCCGAAACCACCCTCGCCCTCATCCGCGTCTAGGGTGGCAGAATAGAGAGAGCGGCGTCCCCTGAAACTATCCTCGCCACCCGCGCCCACAATTATATCCGCGTCTAGGGTGGCAGAATATAGAGAGCGGCATCCCCGAAACTACCCTCGCCACCCGCGCTTTAGTTATATCCGCATCTAGCGCGGCAGAATGGAGAGGGTGGCGTCCCCTAAACTACCCTCGCCACCCGCGCCTCAGTTAAAGCAGCGTCTAGGGCGGCAGAATAGACCCCCCCCACCTCCCCGGTTTCACTTTAGGTTTGAGGTCGATGTGACCGTCCTTTGCCTAGAGCGGCAGTTCAGCTTGCTCCGGCCCTGCATCTGTCTCTTAGGACCTATTCACACTATGCTTTCCGAACCGTGCCCAGGCCCGTTTCCCGGATCGTTTGAGAAGTGTGAGTGCTCTGAATCAGGCTCAGGCACGGTTGGAAGATGTGTGCCAGAGCTCAGTTCACTTGGGCTATGGCACGGTACGCTTGTTTGCGAGTGCAAAACGCTGAAAAAGTCTGAAACTCAAAGCGAGACTTGACTTTTAAGGGGCTGTTTTATATGTGTTTATTCATCATTCTTACCGTTCAATGAACGCAAACTGTCGTGGTTTATTAAAGCTTAAAAAAAAAGATGGCCGAAAGCTCCGCACCTTCAGCAAACCTTCTAATACCTGCAACACGAGGACTTTATGATTGAAGTCATATGAAATGACTTAAACGACGATATAACTAAAGAAATCTGCTGTGCTGAGCAAGCGCACATTATCGATGACTTAAGTGTTCCCAGGCCCGAATGTAATGTGAGTGCGGGTCTTCGGGGGAGACGGGAGGGGGGACAAGCGTGCTTTGGCCCGACTCAAGGCAACAGTGATGTTGTAAATTCTCAATGTGGAGTACAAATGATAATGGTTGTAAACGAAATTAAATAGATCACTTGGAATATCTGCATTCGTCTAATGTAGTGACCTTATCTAAAACTGCGGAAGTGAGCTTGTCATTGTGATGGTTTTTGAATGTCTGATTCAGTTGCCTATGAGAGATATGACTAGGAAAGACTCTATCGTACAGTGCTGCGGCCAGTGGTAATGTATACCAGTGAAACGAGGGTATTGAGGACTCGGGACGAACGGCTTCTCAACGCATGGGAGAGGAAGATCCTAAGGAGGATTTATGGACCGAAGCATGACCAAGGTGAATAGCGGGTAAGGAATAATGCAGAAGCGGCAGACGTGTTTGCGAAGCCAAGCCTGGTCACGGAAATAAAGAGTAACCATATAACCACACCCGAACAAAGTGCTGTTGAAAGAGCATACAAGCTGAAACTAGAAGGAAGGAGACGTCCTGGTAGGCCACGAAAGAGGTGGTCAGATGACATAGAAGATGATCTACGTACCTTAAGAGTGCATGCTTGGAGAAAGCAGGCTTTGGATCGGGAAGGCTGGAGAGGAGTGGTGGAAGAGGCCAGGGTTCTACACGGGCCATCGCGCCGCCGGAAGAAGAAGGTGGGAGATATGTCTAGGAAGGATAAATTGCAGAAAACACAGGCATCCTATTTCTTCGGGAAGCTCCGGGAGTCTCTCGCATATGCATAAAGACTCTCTGATGTCTGCTAATGAGTTATAGTATCCCAGAAATTGCAGTGTCCCCCACCCCCACGCTACTCATTAATGTTGCATTTCCCTGGCTCTACATCCGCGTCACAAAACTCAGGCATCCCAATTATTCCAGAAGCTCTGGAAGTCTCTCGCATATGCATACAGACACCCTGATGTCTGCAAATGAGTTATAATGTCTCAGAAATGGAGGTGTCCCCAAACCCCACGCTGCTCATCAACATCGCATCTCCCAGGCTCTACATTTGCACCACAAAACGCAGGCATCCTAATTCTTCCAGAACCTCCGGGAGACTCTCGCATATGCATATAGGCACCCTGATGTCTGCAAATGAGTTATAATGTCTCAGAAATGGAGGTGTCCCCCAACCCCACACTACCCATCAGAATCGCATCTCTCAGGCTCTACATCGTGCACCACAAAACGCAGGCATCCCAATTCTTCCGGTAGCCTCTTGCATATAGACTCCCTGATATCTGTAAATGTGTTATAATGTCCCAGAAATGGAGGTGTCCCCCAACCCCACGCTACTCATCAACATCGCATCTCCCTGGCTCTACATCTGCACCACAAAACGCAGGCATCCTAATTCTTTTTATGGCCATTTCCAATTGTCGAAAGGTAGCAAAAAGCTAACCGTACTGTACCTCTTGTTGGGTACCCTTTGTAAAGGGTATTTAGCATGACAAACGGGTACCAAAAGGCAGAGCTGGATGCAAAGTTGAGCGCTATTGGTTTACAGAGAAACATCACTGGCACATACACAAGCAGGAGAATGAAAACAAACAGCCGAGACATTATATCGTAATACTATGTACATATAATAACGAGCCATGGTCGACCCGAGCTCAAACAACCCTTGTTGTTGTCTTGATGAACAGCCACAAAGCCAAGAAGAGCAAAATCTGCTGTGTCCTGTTTTTGTTTTACGAGGCTGTCTAAAAGTGCGAGCGGTGTCACTTTCTCACCATTGGTACCCTTTTAGCCGTGGACACGCAAGCCTGATAAAGGTGACCCGTACTGTACTAGTTACTTGAAATGGGACAGCTTTTGGGGGTAATTAAAAGAGGGTCAGGAATCCAGCTCTCAAATAATTTAACCGTGTCTAAGCCCTGAGACCCTTCTGGTAAACCAATGACTAAAAACCACTGCATCTGCGTCCTTGGTTTTCCAAATTGTTGATATAATCTTGCAAGTCGCGTACTTGCTTCTCCAAATTTGTTATTCTTGCATCTATGGATGAAGTCAGGGTCTCAACAGCTGAAGTGGTCTCTTCTGCATTACCAATTTGCTTTGTCATTAGTCTGAACGTGGGCCATTTGGTCTAATACGATAGCAACTTTTAAGAGTTCGCACTTCGATATTGCTTGACTCTGTTAGCAGGTTTGGCATGCTGTCCTGGAAGAGAACCCTGAGCTCAGAGATAATTGAGCCCAAGGCTACCGCCTGGTCAATAAGCATACATGGGGGTCTGAAATCAGGTAGGTCTCAAAAGCTCCCCCTGGTAAAGAGAGGAAAAAGGAGGAGATGAGGTGGAAGGGGGGATTCTTACAACAGGAAGATACGGCAGTAGGGTGAAATCAGTCTATTTACTGTATGATTGAATCAATCTGAAATGAGTTATTGCTGATTACAAATTACACGCTCCTCGAAATTTGCTTGTAAAACTTAGTTTGACACTTAATTTGACAAAAACTGGCTCGGTAGAGACTGAACTTATTTTTTTTTACTTTCCCAGCTTTGATAACAATCGGTTTTGCAAAGTAATCCTCTAAACTCATTCTCAAAACAGGAAGCAGCCCTAACTGGATGGCAGGCAGGTACTTGAAGGATGGTTAATCAAAAGGTTTGTTCGGTTTGCGTCTTAAGTTCTACGGTTCAGTCTTACATTAAGAAAATACCGGTTCTCTTCACTTTTCTGATAAATACTGGAAAGGGGATTGGAGTGAGTGGAGAAGAGATACAGACAACACAACGGCAGCTTCAGATTCAGACACTTTTATTCTAAACTCATTGAGTTAAAACCAACCCAGAATTCCCAACTAATGCTGCAGTTCACCAATACAGGCAACATTTGTACTCAACATTAAAAATAAATATGACTGTAGTGCTGCATCTTTAATATATATTAAAGCTCATCTTAAGATGCATATGATCACAGGCATGTCAGTATATAAGAGCAATCTGATTCGATGTGTTGTCCACTTTCGACTAAGTCCAGCTCAAAACATTTAAGCCACCACTTACACCAGGAGTGCCCAAGCTCGGTCCTGGAGGGCCGGTGTCCTGCAAAGTTTAGTTTCAACCCCAATCAGACACAGCTGGGCTAGCTAATCAAGCTCTTACTAGGCCAGGGGTGTCCAAACTCGGTCCTGGAGGGCTGGTGTCCGGTATATTTTAGTTCCAACCCCAATTAAACACACTTAAAACAGCGAATCAAGCTCTTTCTAAGTATACTAGAAAGCGCAGGTTAGAGTGTTGAAGGAAGTTGGAGCTGAACTATGTAGGATACCTTCCCACCAGGCACCCCCGTACTAGGCTTTCTAGAAATATCCGTGCAGCTGTGTTGAGGCAAGTTTGAGCTAAAATCTGCAGGACACAAACCCTCCAGGACCAAGTTTGGACACCCCTGACTTACACCCTTAAAATACTTAGCGATGTCCGCTTTTGATCAGATCAACACGGTCTTTTGAAGCATGCGTTGTATTTTAAACATTTGTCACCCAGTATATTTACAATTAGGATGACGTTAAGATTTTGGTATTATGGCCCGTCATTCTTCCCACACTTTCAGCCGGCACATCATGTAAGCTACATTTCTTGTTTGTTTTTTTGGCTCTGACTTGACTGCTCTTCCTGAGGTAAAACACATTTGAAAATGGTGTTTACGTATTGCAGTGTGGACAGTGTCCAAAAATTGCATACTGCCGTACTATGTAGTATATGTAGTACGAAAGAGTTTGCGAGCCGAGTAGTATGTCCGAATTCGAAAAACAGTACGCGTTAATTACCTGGATGACCTACTACTTGTGGCAGGATTCTGAAGTGTGCATCGGATGCATTCTACGATATCCCATGATGCATCGTGAGAGAATTCATGAATGCAAGTGAAGCGACGCAACTGGCACAGGTAGGTCACGTGATCAAGACAAAACGGCGGATGCAGTATGTTCGAGTTCCATTCATACTGTATAGAACGTACTTTTCTAACAGTCGAGTCGTACGTTTAAATTCAAATCCAGTACTTACAGAGTAGTAGGCGATTTCAGACGCAGCCCGAGGCTTTCAAAATCAACGACACATTTTAGTCATGTGACCAATTCAGCTAACATGGTGGACGACTTTAAGCAGATGTTTTGGATGCGGTCCGATTCGACAGCTTTGTTAAAGATTAATATCAGTTTGTAGATGTTCCATATTGTCTCTCTTCAAAGTACTAGGAGTTGTTGTTTATCGGTGGTAGACCGCAGTTGCCGTGACATTTCAAAGAGACGGAAAGTAAATAAACGGCAGGCGGATATGACGCAGGTAATAGTATCTTACGTCTGTGCGCAGTACATAAACGAAAGAATTTTCAGTTGTTTTAGAGTGGATAACAAATAGAATTGAAAACGACAGATTTTTAAACGAAAACACCGAAATCACAGTCAAATTTTTCCAGGTAGCGAAAGAATTTTCAGTTGTTTTAGAGTGGATAACGAATAGAATTGAAAACGACAGATTTTTAAACGAAAACACCGAAATCACAGTCAAATTTTTCCAGGTAGCGATGTGCCAGGATATCACATCACTGCTGTCATCATGCACCTAGTTTTACAGGAGAACAAGAGTCTTAAAAACCTTCTGTCTTTGTCGTTGTCTTCTATCATTGTCAAGTAGAACTTAAAAACACAGCCTACATTTGTGAATACACACCGTTTACATTTATTCCAGTGGATTAATCTTGTGTAATTAAAAGAAAGGAGGTAGCGCAAAACTGACAATACCTATCTTATATAAAGTTTACTTGGCTCAAACATGAGGGAACACGTGTCTATGTTTGAATGGACTTTAATGATTGCTGCAAGTCAGCACAAAAAAACGATAGTTGTCTTTATACGGGGCATATTTCTTATTATTTGCTTTGCAGAAGCATTTACCTTGCGTTTATATTAAGCAAGCTAATGTTATTTTTTAAAGTGGAGCATTAATTTGATAGTGGAAAATAAATGATTGCATTTTACCTCAGACTTTGAGGCTGAGGCCACCATTGGAGATTAGTGATGGGTCGTTCATAAACGATTCGTTCATTTTGAACGAATCTTCAATATGACTCGGGAACTACGAGTATCGTTAATTTCAAGTCTTCATCACATTGGCAGAAGCCAATCATATGCGTTTAGTGCCGGAAAAAGTTTTGATCCGCTCACCTCTCAAGTCCTCTATCATACCTCGAGTCATTCTGTCACGTGATAAACGAACGATCATGGCTCCTATCGGCTCAGACTGTGCATTGATTAAGATTATATGTGACTGTCAGTGTAACGTGAATGAACCCCTGACAATTGAAGACATGAAGAGGTGAGCTGAGGAAAGACACAAAAATTCCTTCATAGACAAAAGAGCAGGTAAACATTGAAATATTATTTTCTCCTTCATATATTCTACTTATGACTTATTTGTCATGTGATCAACCTTTTTGGCTAGTTGTAGATGTGTTTGGAAGCAATTCGTAACATTTTAATAATATTTTGGCAAATTGAACCAAATGAACGAAATGACTCAAAAGATTCGTTCATCTTAATGAACGAGACTCAAAGATTCGAGTCAGTAAAATGATCCGAACTTTCCATTACTATTGGAGATGTGCATGCAGAATAACATCCATATAGAATCAAATATAACGAATTACCCTTAAAGTATAGGTGATGGGTAAGATTTTGATTTAGTTGTTCTTTTACATGCTAAGTAACTTTACTTTGGACATGAGGTTGCCATAATCATCAACAAGGATTTGACGTAAGATGATTTATGTTGACCTTAAGTGAAGAATTTGCTAATGTTGAGTTTGTAATTACTGGTTTGATGTTTAGAGATTGGAATAAACGCAACCACATCAATGAATTTTACGGAAGCACATTTGATTCACAAAGTACCCAATCCCAGATCACACTGACCGATGCAGTTTGAGCCTAAAGAGCCCTAATTTCCCGGTACACTTCAAACAAAATCAGAAAAATACGCGAAATTACATTATTTCGAACTAAATCTGTCCGAAACCAAGTTATTTTTGAGGAATTCGTTTTGGCAGTTCGACACAGCTTACCAAAGGGAACTTTTTGGGGGAGTTCGTTTTGGTCCTGAACACTTTTGAGATACCATCAAAGTGCTGCGGAGTTTGAGACGATTACTGCATACTGTCCGGAGTATTATTTAGTAAAATCGCAGCATTTTTACGTAACAAAAATTACATACGACGCAATTTGATTTATCGTTTAGCAAAACTGCAAGTTCTTTTTGCCGTGTGAATTTATCTTCAGTTTCATGATCCTGCTCAGACAAACAGTGATTACATTTGATTTAATAAACAGGCTGCAATGTCAAGTTAGCCACGATAAAAATTAAACATTTGCTTGTAAATTGCAGATTTTCTAGAAGCAACTATACAAATAATTGTACAAATATTACTAAAACACCATTTTTTGTTTGAAAGTATTGCGATGTAGGATACACGTTCTGGGGCGATGCAGTGGGTAGCATGTTCACCTCACAGCAAGAAGGTCGCTGGGTCACTGGTTCGATCCTCGGCTCAGTTGGCGTTTCTGTGTGGAGTTAGCATGTTCTCCCTGCGTTCGCATGGGTTTCCTCCGGGTACTCCGGTTTCCCCCACAGTCCAAACACATGCGGAACAGGTGAATTGGGTAGGCTAAATTGTCCGTAGTGTGTGTGTGTGTGTATGTGTGGATGTTTTCCAGAGATGGGTTACGGCTGGAAGGGCATCCGCTGCGTAAAAACTTGCTGGATAAGTTGGCAGTTCATTCCGCTGTGGCGACCCCAGAGTAATAAAGGGACTGAGCCGACAAGAAAATGAATGATACACGTTCTGTGTCGTCTAAAACGTTATTACATTAATGGTTGATCCCAGATCAGACAGACCGATGTGGAGTCTAAGCCGAAAGAGCCTTACTTCCCCAGTATTAACCTTATTCTAAAATGCGGAAGTGCGCCTGTTTTCGAGATTGTCTTAGAACTCCCGATTCAGTCGCCTTTGGGAGAAATGACTAGGAATAATAAACGGCAGAAAACGGTCAAACTACTTGCTCTACAAACAAACGTTTGCATGACTATAGAGACCAAGTAGAATAATATAATAAGAAAATATCAAATTGCAACAAGCAGCGTAACGAGCAGTTTTTAACGTCAAAAAATGAATGGAAGTGAATGTGACCGGAAGTCTCAAGCCAAAAAGATTCAAATGGCAGCGCCCACTCGTCTGCGGAGAATAAGGTGAATACTTCAAGCGAAATCAGAAAAATTATAGAAAGTACATAATCGCGAACACAATCTGGCCAAAACAATGTTATTTTGCAGAATTCGTTTTTTTGTTCGACACCGCTCACCAAAGTAACATTTTTGTGGCAGTTCATTTAGGACCTAAACACCTTTGGGTTACCATTTGGAGTATGACTTAGTAAAATCACAGCATTTCAACATAATATACTCACATACTTGACTTGTACAGCAAAAACGCAGCTTCTTTTTTGCAGTGTCAAAAAAAAAAAAAAATCTTGAGTTTGATGTTCCTGCTCTGCATCTGTCTCAAACAAACGGAGTTATTCAATTTAATTTTATAAACAGGCTGCAAAGTCAAGTTAGCCATGCTATAAATGAAACATTTGCTTGTAAATTGCAGATTTTCTGTAAGCAACTGAAAATAATGTTATATTTGGTTGTAAAAATAGTACTAAGACATCATTCCATACTTTGTGACTATATTTAGCGACATTTCAGATCCTCTTAGCGACAAAAAAAAACACACTAACAAATCTAACAAATTTACTAACGTTACACATGTAAACTGATATACTTTATTCAAACAGCAAAAAATGTAACATACAAAAATTGTTGAAGGTGATGACATCAGTAATATGCCAATTGACATATGATGTAATCAGTGCTTAATTTGTGAATCGCGAATTACCGGAACAGATTGGGGTAACGGATCCGGCAAACTATTCGAGGATGTAGAGGTGTTGCGCACGAAAGCGAAGAGCATGCAGGTTGGGTTGGGGATTGATAGCGTGTCGTCGGATAGCGGAGGGGTGTCGCGGACGTAAGTTAAGAGCCGGGGGTTGGTTATCGCAGAAACGAAAGTGAAGAGCATTAGCGGAACAAAGCGAAAATGAACAGTGTACGAGGTAGGAGGGTAGGTGAGTAGGGGAATCGGTAAAATGAGATGCCGGATCTGGATCCGGCGTGTTCCGGCACAAATTAAGCCTTGGATGTACTCTAGCAACATTTAGCAACTTTTGGGACAGAGCTTAGCGCCTTTTTATTGAAATTAGTTGGAAACAGGCTATACTACAGGGTTTACTTTAAATTTGTGTTTGCTAGAATTACTAACTAGGATGCGCATTATGTCCTCTTAAGCGTCATTGAGATGATCATGTCACAGAAATGAAAGCGTGTTCTAGTTGATGTAGTTTAGTTACATGCTGTTTACTTGACATTAGCCAAAAATGTAAATTTTTAAGCAATTTTCCTGTTCGTTTACATGACAATGTCGTTTTTTTAACTGAAAACACATACATCTTATATTTTTGACAGTGTTGCCATTATAATTTCAGTGTAAACATCCAAAAAGGAGGGTTTTGCTATGTCCGAAATTGCCTACTACATTTGAATTTACTACTCGACTGTTAGAAAAGTGTGTTCTATATAGTATGAATAGAATTGGGACGTACTACATCACATGACCTACAGCGTCAGTTGCGTCGATTCACTCCCATTTATGAATTCTCTCGCGATGCATCATGGGATAGCGTAGCGTCCATCAGAATCTCGCTGGAAATAGTAGTAGGTCATCCGGGTAATTTTCGCACACTGTTTTTCGAATTCTGTGAATTTGGACATACTACTCGGCTCACATACTGTTTTTAGCGTATTATATACACTATGGAAGTATGCGGTTTTAGGCAAAGCATTTGTTAACAATGATATAATGGCAGGCATCCCAAGTTGAGAAAAGTAACTTCCGAGGGAGACAGAGATGATTCACAGAAGGTTTGGTGGGAGATGCACACAACGTGGGGTGGGTGTGCGTGACGTACCTGAAGAGCTGGAAGGGATGCAATGGAGAGGGACGTGCAACGTATTTAAGAAATGGGCAGAAGTCGTGCGATTTCCGTGAGATTATCTTTCGTTTGCGAGCATCCAGGAGTCTATATGCATTTGCGGAACTTCCGTGAGACTTGGGATGTCTGTAATGGTGCTTCTTGTGAAGATGGGTGTTTGCCAGATGTCCTTTTTTTTGTGTTTAGGAGTACATGCAAGAAGCATGACACATTTACAGCCCTCCCTACTGCAGCGTGGGGATTTCAAAGTGTTCGACAACTGTATGGTCTCAAACTTAACTCCTGGAGGGCCGCAGCTCTGCATAGTTTGGCTCCAACCACCTCCAACTCACACCTGCTTAATGGTCCCTAGTAGTCTTAAACACCTTGATTAGTTTGATCAGCTGTGTTTGATCAGGGTTGGAGCAAAACTGTGCAGAGCTGCGGCCCTCCAGGAATCGAGTTCGAGATCTATGCTGCATACCATCATCACTCTGCCTCTTCACACTTCCTTTTGCCCTCAAATGCAGAACAAAAATGGGAAATTGGGGCCTTTAGGTTTGTAAGTGTGTCCATTTGCAGTGGACCTGCACCATAAGGATGTTCGGGGACATTTGACTGAGATGGAGCACCGAAAGCAGCTTTGAGTCTATTGGCATTGGTGGTATGCAGATAGGTGTAGCCTTTCCTTCCTACCTCCACACAACTGGATACACCCCTTTGCCAAACCCCTTTTAAAAAAAACTACAGAATAAAACTGCTGAAACGAAGGGATTTAATCATCCATTGGACCATTTTTAAGATGTAATTACCCCTGTTCTCCAGAGTGGAGCTTCAAGTGAGTTTTGTAGCTATCTCTGTGAGCGTAACACTTTCCACAATGACCACATATAAACGGCTTCTCTCCAGTGTGAGTCCTCATGTGGCAATCAAGATAGTTTTTACACGTGAAGCTTTTGCCACAGTGCGTGCAGGGGTAGGGCTTCTCTCCGGTGTGAGATCGTATGTGTAAATTGAGGTTGCTCTTCTGCGTGAAACTCTTTCCGCAGTGACTGCAAGTGTAAGGTCTCTCTCCGGTGTGAATTCTCATGTGGACCTTGAGGAGCTCTTTTTCAGCGAAGCTCTTCCCACACTGCTGGCAGGGGAACGGTTTCTCTCCGGTGTGGATTTTCATGTGCTTTTTAAGTTTATTATTTATAGTAAAGCTTCTTCCACATTGCTGGCAAACGAATGGCTGGACGCTGTTGTGAACTCTCATGTGCGTCTCGAGTTTCTGCTTTTGAACGAATCTCATGTCGCACTGTTGGCAGGCGAAAGGCTTCTCTCCAGTGTGAAGTCTCATGTGGGCTTTAAGGCTGTGCAGGTGAGTGAAACTCTTTCCACACTGATCACACATGAACAGTTTCTCGCAGGTGTGAATTTTCACGTGGGCTTGAAGGTGGCGCTTTAGTCTGAAACTTTTGCCGCATTGGCAGCAGGTGCAATCGGCATCGGATCGATTTTTCTCATCTCTTTTACGGGAGCTTCTTTTCTTCTTAGAAGGTTGTTCATCAGTCACTAAGTCTTGGAGTTCCTCATTCTGATCTTTCTCGTCAGTTTCATTCAGTTCTTGAGCCTCTTTTTTCATCACCATCGGCTCTAAAGAGAAAAATAAAACGCCAGTTTAAGAGCACAAAGTAGCAACAGGGGTTAAAATAAAAAATATTAAAGAAATTAAGATATCGAAACCAACAGCAACGTAAGTTTTGCGCAATTGACACGTATCACTCGAGTTGGAAAATCTGAACTTCAGCTGACATTCGCGACATGCTCAACCAATCGGGAGCTTTCTCTTGTAGGGGCGTGATTATGACATATTGCCTGTTGCTGGGTGTCCAAAGGGCAAAGTCTCTAGCCGATGTTGTGGAAAAAGATTCTGGTGTGCACACTATTTTCTTAGTTTCTAAGTCAAAATATTTAAAAATAAAGACAGAGATTTCCGAAGTCTTTAGGCAAAGCAGTTTATTGTTACAGCATCAGTAACAACGAAGACAGGTCGTTCGAGTGTCTGATGAGTATAGGCCAGCACACAGTTCAAATCAGGGCTGTCCAAACTCTGTCCTGGAGGGCCGGTGTCCTGCTTAGTTTAGCTCCAACTTACTTCAACACACCTCCCCGGAAGTTTCTAGTGTACCCAGAAAGAGCTTGATTAGCTGGTTCAGGTGTGTGTAATTGGGGTTAAAATATGCAGGACACCGGCCCTCCAGGACCTGATTTAAATACACTTCTTTGTCTTAACACTCCACCCAAATTTAGATATTAGCACACCTCCATTAGCTTCTCCACTAATAGGGCCTTAAATCTCCCAGATGCTCTCTACCCATGGCCAGCTGAGAAATTTCTTTACCCCCAATAGGATCTCAGGTTTTTTAGGCACCCAACCCATGACCATTTAAGGCAGGGGTGTCCAAAGTCAGTCCTGGAGGGCCGGTGTCCTGCTGACTTCAGCTCCAGCTTCAACACACCTGCCTGGAAGTGTCAAGTATACCTAGTAAGAGCTTGATTAGCTTGATCAGGTGTGTTTGATTAGGGTTGGAGCTAAACTCTCCAAGACACAGAGTGTGGACATCCCTGATTTAAGGTCTTTCCTTCCTACTTTAAATGTGGCGATTCAGCAAAAGCAATGCTCAACAATATATCTTGTTCACTGTACCTTGAGCTGTCAACTGCAAGTTCAGCCAAAGTTCACGGGTAGTTTTAGGGTCATCGTATTTTGGAAGTCGAGCGTGGTCTGAGAAAGCCTCTTATCATCCAGGTACAGTTTCTGGAGGAGTTGATGAACTCAGGGCTGGGTGCACCTCTGAATGGATCTAGTGGACTCAGGCACGGCTCCAAACGAATCAGCGCTGTTTTTCAGCCTTCATAAAGCACATAAACACAGCTACTCTCTTAATAAAATCCATGTTAGCATGGAGGCTATTGTCACTGGGCTGACAGAAGCCTTGGCCATGATGCGAATCCGCATCTATTGTGAAGTAAATTTTACGCGCAGTGAAACTCAAAATATTCACACGTAAATATTGAATGTTGAGAGAACATTTTGTTCTCTCTTCATGCTTGCTTGTTATCTTGAGGCGTTTGCGGTATCATGCTCTTCAGGCTAGGGAGGGGTTCCTGTCTGCAACTTATATCTTCTCTTAATTTCCACTGTGACCTACTTAGCCCAGAGATGAACATATGCTTATTCATGCTTAGAGATGAAAATGCTTATTCATGTTTACACGAAAATGCTGTATGACCTGCCCATATTTGGAGTGCCTTTTTGCTATCAGCCCTGTGTGTATAAATATCCCTGCACATCCTGTATTTGTCAGACTTGCAGAATAAACCATTCTAACTACAGTTTGGTCTCTTCTCATGTCTCCGGGTCGACCTGCTGAACATTGCTGAATCTGGTGCCTAATTTAGGGGAATCTTACAAGGGTCATCGTATTTTGGAAGTCGAGCGTGGTCTGAGAAAGCCTCTTATCATCCAGGTACAGTTTCTGGAGGAGTTGATGAACTCAGGGCTGGGTGCACCTCTGAATGGATCTAGTGGACTCAGGCACGGCTCCAAACGAATCAGCGCTGTTTTTCAGCCTTCATAAAGCACATAAACACAGCTACTCTCTTAATAAAATCCATGTTAGCATGGAGGCTATTGTCACTGGGCTGACAGAAGCCTTGGCCATGATGCGAATCCGCATCTATTGTGAAGTAAATTTTACGCGCAGTGAAACTCAAAATATGCACACGTCTATTTGCGCACGAATAGCGCAATTTATTTGCATCCGCGTCTTGTGTGAACACTGCATCAGAAGCACTAAGAAGCTGTTTACACTGCCAGTTAAATGTGACCCAATTCCGATGTTTTGCTCATATGTGACACCAATCGGATCTGTTCTATGACTGTGTAAACACACACAAAAAAAAAAAAACGCAAACATTTGGATATTCAGAGATTGGGCCTTCTTCATATGACGAAATTAATAGGATATATGACAATGCGACTCATATAAACAGGCAGATCAGATTTATTCATGGAATTACATTTCGTACGTTAATTAACTTGCGACAATGAGGTGCTTCTCTGCAGTTTAATGGCATAGGAGGAAGAGCATGTGTGGAGACGCAGACGCGGTAAACAACAAGAGAAAACACGGAGGAGGAAAGCGGTCAGTCGCCATAATTTGCTCCCACCAGACCTGACTTCTCTCTCATACCCCCAGATTCCTCTGAATGGTGGAGGTCATCATATTTAAACCATGAGCACAAGCTGCGATAACCCCTCTTTCCCTCCTACTCTGCCTCAAAATCATTTTAAAGTTGGGCGATCTTCGCATATTTCGCAGAGCTGAAAGCAAGACAATTTCCTCCATCGTGGCTAGAGTGTGGATGCTAGAACCTGCTTTTACGCATGCGCGATGCCATAAATTGTATGGCAAGTGTAAACGCATGAATCAGATATGGGTCACAATTAGAAGAACGTGTAAACAGACTGGCAAAAAAAAAAAAAAAAACGATAAAGGCAACAAATCGGAATTGGGCTTCAAGACCTGACAGTGTAAACGGGGCCTAAAGCCGGGTTTATACTTCTGCGTCAAGTGATCGGCGTGACCCACGGAGCAAGCCTTGCGTGTTGCCGTGCATTTATACTTCTTCACAATGGAATTTAATGCAGAGCTTCTTGTCCGGTCTGAGACCCACTTTGTATAGTATATCAATCAGGCAGTGAAGATCAGATTAAAAAAAAAAAAAAACAGATCTTAAACATGACCATTTTATAATGGAAAGCGCTGAGCCTGGCTGGCTGAAATTAAAAGTCTGTGTGCATATACCCCATTAGCATGTTGTACATGGGAAAAAAAAAAATTTAATTTAATTGTAATACACACACCGCTGTTTTGTTACACTGAAATATTCACATTTTGGTGTTTCTCAGTAGCAGAAGACGTCGTAGCTGGGTAAACTCAGTGCGCAGTGAATGGGAGAGTACAACTAACCGTACGTTCACACCGAAAGCGGCGAGAGCGTCAAAGTAGCTGGAAGTCATTCATTTTTAATGAGAGCCGGCGGCGAGGAGCAGCGCGGTGCGTCTTTGCTGGCGTGAGCGTCGAGGAGAGTTGAAATGAAGTCAACTTTATGGTAATGAGCTATGACGCGGTTCAGTGGCAAGCAATCAGAATGAAGACGTCCACCGCTTGATAGCAGTTCAGAGAACACAGACCTGTGAACTTTGGTTCCGACCACAGTTGTTCCCAAGGGTTTGATTATTGCGGTCGCCGGATTTCCAATTATTTACAATGTTTGCCTACAGGAACATACATTGAATAAGTTACTGGCGAGTTACTGATGTGCATTAATGTTTTATATATTTATCTTAAAAAAGCGGGAATCTCACGCGATACGACAGTACAAAACAGTACTGCTGCTTCAGGATATATCAGACATATGGACACATATTGGATAAATAGAGCAAAGCCACACCACACGCAACTTGATCTTCCATTGTTATATGAATTTGATAAGAAGTGCGCAACATTTTCACGCTAGAAACATGTTTAATGCAGGAATGTAACTGATATGCTGCAACGGCTCCTTTAAAAACGAGATTAATGTAGCGAGTTTTGACGCTCTCGCCGCCGGAGCTGAAGGCAGACAGCGTTGTCGCCGGAGCGACCTTGGACGCTCTCGCCGCTTTCGGTGTGAACGTGCGGTAATAATATTTAACAATCCTATGTGCTGAAATAATAAAAGAAAAACTCCACGATGGTGTTATCGAGACCTTTAGAAAAAGGAAAAAAAATTGTTCCAGACTGCTTACCGCAGCCAGAAGACAGATTACATCAATTTGACTCTCAGCCCCATGGACGCTGCATTAGAAACACCACACATAAGTGGTAATTGTTTTTGTAATTTGACGCAAAGATGGGATAATGCATTCATAAACGCATATAAATGTTCGTACGTTTTTTTAAAAAGCTAAATATTAAAAACTTAAGGATTTAAGATTATTAACAGCGATTAATAGCAGGCTTGTGAAAAGAGTAGGGATGTAACGATATCAGAATTTCAAGGTACGATAATACCTCGGTATGAATGGCACGGCACGGTATTTATTGAATCATTTACAGAAAAAAACAGAACTAATGAAAAGACTCGAAAAAAAATGCCAAAAGTGTTTATTTACCTTAGCGCTGAACATATCAATGACATACAAATTAGCCATCTATCTGTAAATTTTGAAACAGGAACTTCAATTTTTCAATTTTAATAACAAAAAAATTATTAAACCATGTAAAAAAATAAAGTGTCAATTTAGTATTGTTGAAAACTCATCACATTCAACATTTAATCACGCACTCACTTAGATAGGGATGGGTTTTTAAGGAAAATTATCATATAACTATAATCTGGTAAAAGCTGGGATCTCTGGGCATGTCCCCTGCAACAGAAAAACCCCTCTCATTTGGGACTGAGGTTTCTGGGACAGAGATATGATTCAGCCAAGGTTGACCGCAGTGGGTAACGCTGTTCATTGACTTTCCACCACTTGAGAGCCATGAGTGAGATAGAGATCTCTTTACGATACAAGTCAATGTCTGCATCAATCTAACAAG